TCTGCCTCTCCGAGGACCAGCTCTCCAGCTGCCCTCCTGTGCCCTGCGCCAGCTCTGGGTCCTTGACCCGCCTGCACTTCCCGCCGCGACGTGTCTGTGCTCGAGGATTGCCCGGCCGGGACTGTCCTTCCCCATTGTGTGGGCCGGCTGCAATGCTGAGCTCCGCCACTTCCTGACTGTGTGACCCGAGCAAGTCACTTGACCTCGCCATGCTTCAGTTTTCCCATCTGTAAAATGGGGCAGTCACAGGTTGTCATGAGGAAGACATTCAGTACCATGTGCAGAGGGCTGAGCACACAGCGAGCGCCCGGCAGCTGTGAACGTGGCTGGTGACACTGCTAAGGATCTGGTGCTCCTGTCAACGCTGGAGCCCTCTGGATCTTGGGACGGCTGTGGGATCGAGGTCGTAGGGGAGGTGGCACAGTGGCTGGGGGGGCACAGTAGGCACGTGGGGCTTGAAGCCACGGATCTGTGCCAAGCAGTAGGGGAACATTTCAACCCGAGCATTTGCACTGTCCCTACCAGCAGGACCTCAGCCCAGCCCAGATGGCCCAAGGGGCGTAGCCGAGACCCCAGAGTTTGCAGCAGGGGCTTTCTGGGTGAGCAAGAGCACACCACTGGGAACTGAAGCCCCTGGAATGCAAGGCAGGGACCAGCCAGGGCAGATGTCAGCCTAAGCAGGGCCAGCAGGGCCACCACTGCCCCCACGCCATGCCCACGAGAAAGCCACCCAGTGGGTAGACGCTGCCCCTGAGCAGGCAGAGGAGACCCCCAGGTGGCTGAGCCCACTCTGGGCTGCCTGAGGAAGTCCTGGCATTGCCTTGAGTATTCGGTTTTTTGCCATTTAGTGGCACAGGAGTTCAGAGCAGTGACTATATCGGGTAATAGAAAAGAGCGTTTGTGTTTGTTTGCATATGCGAGTTTTGCTTCCGGCTGATCTTAAATTCATCCACTGTTCCCCCAGCCGGCGTGTAGGCTGTGTCAGGCACTGTTTCCCATCAGCTCGCCTGAGTCGGGTTCTTGCCCTCCCTGCCCTCAGCGCTTCACGCCTGTCTTCCAGCCCTTTCCACCGCCTGCCTCGCGTCAGCCACACCACCGGCCTTCTTCCAAAGCCCTGACTGTGCCGCACCACGCCCAGCGCTTTGCAAGCCTCGCTGAATCCTCACCGCGGTGGGCTGGGATCATTGATATCAGGCCCATTAAACAGATGGTGAAACTGAGGCTCAGAAAGGAGAAACGCCCTACCTAAGGTGACACAGGTGGTAAGTGACAGAGCTGCGATTCGATCCCAGGTTCTCCTCCCACGTCACCACATTAGTGTAGGTGCTCAAGACGTATTTGAGAAACGCCACGTTGACCTCCTTGGCCTTACCTCTCCAAGGATGGGGCTGTCTGGAATCTCTCCCTGGCCTCTGTCTCCAGCTTCCCAGAAGGACAGCTTTTATAACCTGAGCTCTGGAGCCCGGGTGGGCGGGCACAGGGGCAGGAAGTGCAGCCGTGGCCAGGGCTGTGGCTCAGACGGGCTCTTCAGTAGAGGGAGGGGTCCTCTTGGCACCAGGCAGCAGGGGGCTTCCGGGCAAAACTGACAGGGCCATCACCGTGGCCCGAGGGGCAGGCTCTGGGCCCTGGGCCAGCGGACCCCCAGGAAGGAAGTGAGTGGGGCCCTATGGTTTTGAGGGTGGGCCCTTGCCCTCTGGAGCAGCATGGGGCTGTGGATCCTGGGCAGCGCCTCCAGCTCTTGGGAGGGGCCCGGATGTGGCCGTCACAGAACCCAAGGGAGTGATTGGATGGGGTGGGGTGGAGGGAGGAGAGCAGATGAGTGGCAGAGGTGCGGTGGTGAGTGGCCAGCGTCCACCTTGTGGCTGTGCCCCATGACCTTTCTTTTCTTTTTTTTTTTTTAAGACAGAGTCTCACTTTGTTGCTCAGGCTAGAGTGAGTGCCATGGCGTCAGCCTGGCTCACAGCAACCTCAATCTCCGGGGCTCAGCGATCCTACTGCCTCAGCCTCCCGAGTAGCTGGGACTACAGGCATGCGCCACCATGCCCGGCTAATTTTTTGTATATATATTTTTAGTTGGTCAATTAATTTATTTCTATTTTTGGTAGAGACGGGGTCTCCCTCAGGCTGGTTTCGAACTCCTGACCTTGAGCAATCCGCCCGCCTCGGCCTCCCAAAGTGCTAGGATTACAGGCGTGAGCCACCTCGCCTGGCCTAATTTTTTATATATATATTTTTAGTTGGTCAATTAATTTCTTCCTATTTTTAGTAGAGACGGGGTCTTACTCAGGCTAGTTTCGAACTCCTGACCTAGAGCAATCCACCCGCCTCGGCCTCCCAGAGTGCTAGGATTACAGGCATGAGCCACCACGCCTGGCCTCCCATGACCTTGCTATATATGTCATCATCTCTGCTATGGTGTGGTCACCAAGGGCATGGCCTCTATAGACAGACAGGCCTGGGTTCAAATCGCCACTGTCACTCAGAAACTGTGTGACTGTGGGCAAGTTATTTTCCCTTCTGAGCCTTACTTTTCATGTCTGTAAAATGGGAATAATAAATCCACCTATGTCTTTTGGGTATTGTGAAAGTTGTTGAGGCAACTCATCAGTACAAGGGTTGGCATATAGGAAGGGTTCGAAGAAGTGACTTATTTTAATTTTCATTTTATAAATAAGGAAGTTGAGACTCAGAGAGGTTAAGTACCTTGCTCTAGGTCACACAGCACGTCTGTAATAAGGCTGGGATTTGAAATCAGGGCCCAGAGAGCTGTGTGACCACCCAGGGAAAGGGAAATTTGGTGTTCCTAAGTCATGGAGCTCCGAGACCACAAGTCCTCACTCTCAGCCAAGCTGAGGTACAAAGGTCCTCTCGTGTGGAATCCTGGCGTCCCCACTGTGAGTGTGCACAGCTGGCTGTGTCCGTGTCAGCTTGTTACTGGCTGTCCAGGGTGTTCAGCCAGCAGCGAGCACGACCCGATCTTACGGATTTTCCCAGTGATTAATTTCTTTCCCTGTCACACTTAGGGGCATGATCAGAGCAGCGTTAAACTCTGTTCCGTGGCTGGTCACGTGTGCGGGGCTGAGGGCTGATGGGGGAAGGGCTGGTTCTGGAAGGCAGTAGCTGCACAAGAGATGCAAGGCCCATGTTAGTTAGTTCTAAAGTTCTCACTTTGGCCAGTGGGTTTTTTTTTTTTTTTTTTTTTTTTTTGAGACAGAGTCTCACTCTGTTGCCTGGGCTAAAGTGCCATGGTGTTAGCCTAGCTCACAGCAACCTCAAACTCCTGGGCTTAAGTGATCCTCCTGCCTCAGCCTCCCGAGTAGCTGGGACTACAGGCATGCGCCACTATGCCCAGCTAATTTTTTCTATATATTTTTAGTTGGCCAATTAATTTCTTTCTATTTTCAGTAGAGACAGGGTCTTGTTCTTGCTCAGGCTGGTCTCTAACTCCTGACCTCGAGCCATCCTCCCGAGTCAGCATCCCAGAGTGCTAGGATTACAGGTTGAGCCACTGTGCCCGGCCGTGGCTAGTGTTTTGACATTAGCAAACGGCTAATGTTAGTTTGCTTCGGTAGCTGTATCAGATGGGATGTTCTTAGTTTAGAATCCCAGACTTTTTGGGTTGGAAGGTGCTCTAAGAGTTGGTGGGCCCCCCTTATTTTTGCTGTTGGGTTTCAGTGTTACTGCCAAGAGCTGTCCTCCTCCTGCTTGGGGCACAAAAGGGCTCTCAGGTTAATTGCTTCACCTGAGTTACCAGGCCAGTGCTGCTGTGAGTGGAGGCGCGGAGGTGGGGCGGGTCCGTAAGGCCATGCAACAGCAACAGCACCGGCACACCGAGCACGTGGTGTTGGGTCCCGTTCCAAGAAGCAGACCCAGAAAGTGGGCCTGGGATGCAGGAGCTGACTTGGGAGGTGACCTCGGGGAGCACGAGAAATGAGGCAGGGCTGGGAGACCTGTGACAAGTGTGCCCTCAAGCCAGTCACCCCTGCGGGGTTATTCTGGAACCAGGCCAGAGCAGGGACCTCAGAGTTGCTCCCTGCCCCGGGGTAAGGGGCTGGGGTTGTTCAACCACCCCCAACCCCACCCTCCAGGAAGCCCCAGGGATGTGGATGGGCAGACTGAGGACCCAGGGTTACGGCGATTTGGAGAACCATCTCCCGAGCCCTGACAGGACCCTGTGGGCCGGGACAGAGATCCCTACTCGGGCCTGGGAGAGACCCAGACCGGAGGTTCTGCCCCACCCTCGAGGCTCCTTGGAAGCCCCCAACGGTTCCTTGTATGGCTCTAGGGAGGCAGAAGAGGCCTACCATAGGACAAGACGGAGGCTGCCTTTCTCTCCTCCCTTGTGAGTGGGGGTTCAAACCCAGATTTATATAATTGAGAAAAATAATGGAATGTGGTGTGCAGGGAGCAGATTCCTCCCCAGCCCTCGGATTGCAAAGTGTGGCTGGGAGCCGGGCCGCGTGGGGGCTTCAGCGCTCGGCAGCTGCTCAGTAAGTAGCCGCCAACGCTGCTGTCATGCCTCGTGCAGGGTCTTGGCCTGGGCCCTCAGTGTCCCTCTTGGCCTGGCCCGTGCCTTGTAGAATAGGTGGGAGAAGCTCCTTCCCTGGGCGGTGAGCTGTTCTGATGCCTGTCTGTGCTCTCAAGCTGAGTCGTGTCTTTCCCTGAAACGCCCACCCTGTTCCTTCCTGCAAGGCCCTGTGTGTAGCTGAAGGGCTCTGGTATTGGGCGGGCCCAGGGTCAGGAGAACAGGGGTGCCATTGTCTGTCCCAAGACTCCTGGCATCAGGGAGGCCAGGGAGACAATGGCAGTCACGCGCTGTCTGAGTGGGAAGGGCCTTTGGTGATAAGGCGCCCAACTCCAGAGGCCAGGTAACAGCAGTGACAATGACATCACCCTCAGATGACAGTGTTTGAACACCTAGCATGTGCCTCACCACAGACCTCTAAGGTGGGGACTATGACTCTCCCCATTTTCCCATTTCACAGAAAAGGAAACTGAGGCCCGCAGAGGGGAAGCCATATCCCAGGATCAAAGAAGCACTGAGGGGCCAGGCCCGAACTCGAAGCCTCCTTCCTCTGCCTGCGGAGCCATGTTGTTCAGAGAGCCCTCTGCCCACCACACTGCCGAGACTAGCAAAACGTACGTGCCCACCCAAAAGGCCACCCCACCAGAGATGGTCTTGAGGCCGCCCAACACGGAAGGCAGGAGGAAGAACTGGCTTTCTTCTTCCTGAAGCTGGGGGAGCAGCACCGTGGACGTCATCCTCACGTGGTCTGCTGTGGCCCAGACACGGCTCAGACATTGCCCAGGTTGGCTCCGCTGTGCCTGAGCATGACCCGATGTCCAGTCCCCAAGACGGCCAGGGACAAAGTGACCCCTGTGCGGGGACAAAGACACTCCAACTGCAGGGGTCACAGCAAGTGTTTATTGATTGCAGAGAGGGACGGTCTACAGAGCTGGCGCCCACACTCCCAGCTGGGCCCTGCCTGCCCGCATGGCCAGCGACCCATCTGCACGGGGAGAGACAGCCGGGCTGCTACGAGGAGGCTGGGGTGATCACGAGGGCATCCTGAGATGGGAGGAGAAAAGACAAGCAGGTTTTTTACCTCCTGCCCTGTCGTGGTTTATGCTGGTTTTGCCCTTCACAAGGTAGCCACTGGTCCTGGGGGCCATGGCCCTGAACTCACACGTACGCAATTCTTGGAAGGGACAGAGGTGGCGGGTCTGTGTGAACAGTAAGCCACGTAGGGGTCTGGGCGTCTCAGGCCTACGCCCCACATGCCCTGTCTCTGCCTCCGATCCCGGGGCTCCTTCCTCCTCTCTCCTGGAGCATTAAGCAACCCTGCCCCAGGGCCTTTGCACTTGCTGACTCTTCTGACAGGACACTCGGCCCAGCTACCCACAGGGCTCACTCCCTCACCTCCTCAGGTGTCGGCCCCAATGTCACCTCCTCAGAGAGTCCTTCCCTGGCCACCCCATCTAAGACATCACCCCTTTCCCCGCCATCACTCTCTTTCTTCTGAGCCGCTTTGTTTTTCTTCTCAGCCTTTATCTTCGATCCGATGTTATATATTTATGGGTTTACGTATTTGCCTTTCCTGCTAGGACGCAGGCTCTGCAAAGACGGGGATGTTCTGTGTTCATTTCCATAGCCTCAAGCACTCAGAGGCACACCTGGCACATACAAGACCCTCAAACAATATTACTGAATGAACAAATGAATGAATGAATGAATTAATGACAAGGTGGGTGAAAAAGGTGTATTGACCCAGGCTACGAGGCTTGCTTTAGGGCACGGCCAACCTTCCCACTTGCAGATGAGGAGGTGGGGCCCGAGAGGTGAGGGGACTTGCCCAGAGTCCCAGCAAGTGACCAGCAGGGCCAGGACTGGAGTGAGGCCTCCCAGCCAGGGCTCCCTCCCTGGCCGTGCCCTCCCCAGGGCGGAGCACGCCCCGCTCACCTTGGTCAGGGAGCATGCCGCGGCCTCAAATCCCAAGGCCTTCACCATCCGCACTGGGATCCCGGGTCTCAGCTTGCCTGAAATCACAAGCACGGTCAGAGACTGGTGGGCCTGGCGTGGGACTGGGCAGCCACGGGCAGGCCCACAGCTCCTGGCATGCCCGCTTCGGGCTGTCCCTCTGACTCTGCGCACCTGTTCTCTGGCCACAGCCTCACCTCCCCACCTTTGCCCCCGGCACCGGCTTCTGGCTGCTCAAAGCGCCGCCCTCACCTCCTCTCAAGCTCCTGCTCAAGAACCATCAGGGGCTCCCAGCATCCATAGCAGAGATGTCTATGCTTTGAGATTGCCCCACTCTAATAAAATTAAGAAATTAAAAAGGCAAGGCTGATGTAGGTTACCAACTATGTAGGTTACCAACTGATTTACTTAATTAAAGTAATTCCACCTTCTCTCTCTGCTTCCTCCACTAGTAACAAACAACACACCAGCAGCAGCTTCGGTAAGAAACTGACTGTGCCGGGCCCGCCCTCTGCCCTTTGCGAGTATCGTCCCATTTGTGCCTCTCAGGAAGTTGCTTTTATTTCCCCATTTTACAGATGGAGAAACTGAGGCTCAGAAGGAGTAGGCAGCTTGACCAAGGCCGGGCAGCTGACAAGAGGGGAACAGGACTTGAACCCGGGTCTGCTGAGGCGCCGAGTGTGCTCTGGTTGTCTGTTCACACCTGTGTCCTCCCTGCTGTCAGCCCCGGGAGGCTGGGCGCTGCCTGCTGGTCTCTGCAGGCCCAGGCCCGGGCGCTAGCACAGGAGCCGGGCTGTGAGGGCGGCGGTGGGAGAGGGCATTTCCAGCTGGGTGGCCTGGAAGGCTTCTAGGAGGAGGCAGAGCTTGAGCTAGGCCTTGAAGGGCGGGTGGGAAATGAATGAAAGGGCCCCGAGTGGAGATGCAAGCAGGAGAACTAAAGCAACGCCCTAGGGACAGAGGGGGCAGATGGCAGAGGGACGCACCATTCTCGTTTGGCAGCAAGACGGAGATGAGGATGTCGGTGGTGATATTTTTCAGAACTTCAGGCTGCGAGAGAGAAGGGGCGCTGTCACCTGGCTGAGAATCCGAAGGCTTCCCTGTCATTCTGCGTGGGCACAACAGGTCCAAGGCGAGGCCAGCCGGTGGAGATGCTGGAATCCCAGGTGGCCAGGAACTGGACAGGCTGGGGCAGGACATGAACTCGGCTGCCCCTGGGGCCCAGTAGGTGGGGGCACTGGGGTGCACGGGAGGCCGCCCCATCCTCAGGGCCTGCACTGCTCTGTTCTAGCCGAATTGGACCCGAGGGAGTTTTGCCTTGCCTTGTCCCAGGTTTTTTGGGGGGAGGGGGGTTGAGATGGGGTCTTGCTATGTTGCCCAGGCTGATCTTGCACTCCTGGGCTCCAGTAATCCTCTTGCCTCAGCCTCCCAAAGTGCTGGGATTACAGGTGTGAGCCACTGCGCCCGGCCTGCCTGAGCTTTTAACTTCTGGAGGGAAGGCAGAAGTCCTGATTTTCATGTGGAAATATCCCTGTTTTAAAATATTAGTCAAAAAACATGTAAAAAGGCCGGGCGCGGTGGCTCACGCCTGTAATCCTAGCACTCTGGGAGGCCGAGGCGGGCGGATTGCTCAAGGTCAGGAGTTCAAAACCAGCCTGAGCAAGAGCGAGACCCCGTCTCTACTATAAATAGAAAAGAAATTAATTGGCCAACTGATATATATATAAAAAATTAGCCGGGCATAGTGGCGCATGCCTGTAGTCCTAGCTACTCGGGAGGCTGAGGCAGAAGGATCACTCGAGCCCAGGAGTTTGAGGTTGCTGTGAGCTAGGCTGACGCCACGGCACTCACTCTAGCCTGGACAACAAAGCGAGACTCTGTCTCAAAAAAAAAAAAAAAAAAAAAAAAAAAAAAAAAAAAAAAAAATATAGAAAAAAAAAATTAGCCGGGCATGGTGGCTCATGCCTGTAGTCCCAGCTACTCGGGAGGCTGAGGCAGAAGGATTGCTCGAGCCCAGGAGTTTGAGGTTGCTGTGAGCTAGGCTGACGCCATGACACTCACTCTAGCCTGGACAACAAAGCGAGACTCTGTCTCAAAAAAAAAAAAAAAAAAAAAAAAAGAAAACATGTAAAAAAGAAAACAAAATATAAAGACCAAAGGAAACATGACAGAGGCCAGGATTCTGGCAGTTTGGTCTGACTCAGGCAGGGAAACGTAGGACCAGACGGAAGGAGCTGCCCAGGGCCCTAGGAATCTATGAGAGCAAAATGAGATGTGCACCAAGGGCCTTTGTTTTCTAATTTAGGATTGAAATTTTAATGAAAGTGAATGTGTATCTGTGAGTGTGGGTATTTGTGTGTGTATGTGTGTGAGTGTGTGTGTGAGTGTATGTGTGTGTGTGAGTGTATGTGTGTGAGTGTGTGTATGTGAGTGTGTGTATGTGTGTGTGCATGTATATGTATGTGTGAGTGAGTGTGCACGAGAGTGTGTGTGTAAGTGTATGTATGAGTGTCTGAGTGTGTGTGTGTGAGTGTATGTGTATGTATATGTATGTGTGAGTGTGGGTGTGCATGAGCGTGTGTGTGTGTGAGTGCATATGTGAGTGTGTGTGAGTGTGTGTGTGAGTGTGTGTATGTGAGTGTGTGTATGTGTGAGTGTGTATGTGTGAGTGTGTGCATGTATATGTATGTGTGAGTGAGTGTGCACGAGAGTGTGTGTGTGTGAGTATGTATGAGTGTCTGAGTGTGTGTGTGAGTGTATGTGTATGTATATGTATGTGTGAGTGTGGGTGTGCATGAGAGTGTGCATGAGCGTGTGTGTGTGAGTGCATATGTGAGTGTGTGTGAGTGTATGTGTGTGTGTGAGAGAGTGTGAGAGTGTGTGTGTCCGTAAACGCCGGAGCTGGGAGGTGGGACTTCGGTGGGTGACGTGGAGGCCGGCCAGCCCGCAGTGGGGCTTCCAGGGGGACGTTGTCTGAAGCAGATCCCGGGCAATGTCTTTTCAGAACGGGCCATTCCAGGCCATGTCTGTGCCCTTGGGGACAATCTGTTAATACTTACTTCGAACCGGTTAATATCCCAATTCATCAGATGGATCCGCTCGGACCTGCAACAGAAGGTGCCCGTGAGCGTGTCCATCCATCCATCCATCCATTCATTCATTCATTCATTCGACAGCTGTCTATGGAGCCCGTCACGTGCGAGGCCCAGCGCAGGCGCTGGTGCTGCAGCTGGGAGCCAGAGCAAGCCAGAGCGAGCCCTTGCCTGGTGGGGCTCGCACTCCCTCCGGTGGCGGGTGGGGTGGGGACACAGAAACAAACAGCAGTCAAAGAACAGGACCAGGAGCCGCAGGAGGGAGGGCTGCGGGGTGCCGGGGAGCCCAAGCCCTTCCCAGGCCCCAGTCCCGCTCAGCCGCCTGCTGCTGTGTAGGAATGTGGGCCCCGCGCAGCCGAATAGTCAGATTTTTATATGTTCACAACTAATTTATGTGAAAAACCCAAGCCCGTGTGGGCCGATCGAAACACAGCCCTGGGCCTGCTCATCCCAGGAGGCTCCAGTTTGCACCCCCGAGCCCACTCCGGGCAGCAGGAAGGAGGTAGGACGTGGGGACCAGGCAGGGCACAGACTGTGGCGGCCCGCACTCGGGCACTGGGGTGACTGTCACTGCTGCTGCCCTGGAGGTGGCCAGGGTGGGCTGCCCCTGCCGAGGGGGTGGTGGTGGGCAGGGGCTGCCTGTCCCCCTTCCCTCTCCCCGACATTCAGTCCCGACAGCAGGGGAGTCCTGGGGTGGCCTCCACCCAACACCCCCACACTGGGTGTTGAAAGAAACCCACGGTCACAGGCAGGACTCATTTTCATCAGCAGAATCTTCCCAATGATTTACATGTTTACCTGAGTTCATTCAGGTTGAGCATAAGTCGGTCACCTTCGGCGTAAAACTGAGCTTCTGAACTGGCTTCCTGCAACAAGAGAAGCCCAGGCCGTGTTTCTCTTAAGAGGATGCATGGAGTGTGGGGCCGGGGCTGCACAAGGAGGCTCTGGGGTCAAGCTGATGTGGTCTGAATCTCAGCTACTGGCTCTGTGACCTTGGGAAAGAGTTTGACCTCTCTGGGCCTCACTTTTCTCATTTATGAAATGGTATAGTACTTGTGCCCACTCCCCGTTTAACAGATTACAATATAGGCTTGTTGAGGGCAATGATGATGACGATGATGATGATGACAGCGAAGAATCTGCACGGCACCCTCGCAACCCTATGAGGTGGGTCCTATTATTGCCCCGTTGTAGAACAATTGTCCCTCCTCCTCTCCGTCTGTGGTTTGGATGGACCCCCCACCCCCCACTATGGTGTGTACCTGTCCCCGCTCAGGACATTCACATATTCTATTTTTCTGGCCATACTGATTGGCTCAGGAATGGGCACATGACCTGGGCTCATTCAATGGGAGTCAGCCCTGAGACTTTTGCTAGGACTATTGGGAAAGAGAGGTTCTTCCTGCTGGGATTGACAAGCCGATCGGATACAAGCCTGATGCAGCTTGGGGCACTTCCATGAGAGAAGAGCTTGCCTGAGGATGAGGATAGCACAAAGGAAAACAAGGCTGCTAGATTATTTGAGCACCTAGATCCAGCTATTCCTAAAGCCAATGGACTTTTTAATTATGTGAACTAATACAATTGCTTTTGTGCATGTGAGTTGAGTTTCTTCCCAGAGATCCCTGACTAATAAAGTCACAGGGTCAGGGCTGGGCCCCCAAAGCTCCTGACTCTTGGTCCGGAGCTTCCTTTCCCCCACCCCTGCTAGGTGACAAGAGCAGTGGAAATGTTTAACAAAGGAAGAAGATGAACAAGAACAGTGAACAGGAAGGTCCCCCAGGCTGCTGCCAACATCACAGACAGCTGAACTCACGATGCCCAAGGTGAAGAAGGGGCGGTAGGCTTCACTGGTGGGGAACAAGTCCAGCACAATCTGTTGGGCCACCTTGGCACTGCAATGGCTCAGCAGGAGCTCGGGGGTATCCTGAGTTACGATCTTCACAATCTGGGTGGGCCCCAGCTGATCTGCAGCCTGGAAAGACATCAGAGCCACATGTGGCCTCCCACGTGCCTCACCGTGGCCCACAGGCCTCAAGTGGCCCCCTGTGGCCTGGCCTTCCTGTCCCCTCTGGGCTCCAGCCACACTGCCCTTCTCACAGATCCTGGAACGCACTGCTGTTCTCCCTCCTGGCAGCCTCGGCCTGCTGTTCCCTCTGTCTGGAATCCCTTCCCTGCAGGGAAGTCTCCCTGAGCTCCCGGACTAGACTGGGTGCCCAGAATGTTCTCATAACCCCGAGAATCCGTCCTCTCTTACTGCGCCTGCCACGGCACCATCATCCCTGTGAGTGTGTGAGTCAGGGCGAACTGGCCTGCGGGAATGAAATCTCTGTGAGGACAGGGACCTGGTGTGAGTCCCCCAGCGCTGGAAGGAAAGAGTCCTGCACAGATTCTACCCCCAGAGGTCTGGGTACAGACCGAGCACGCACCCGCCAGGCCGCAGATGGCAGAGGGACCCACCTTTTCATTGATCACCCGGATGCTCGACTTCAGCTCCCGGGCCAGTTCAGGAAGCTGAGGATGACAGGGAGCCAGAGAGGGTCAGTCAGCTGGAGGGGACAGGGGAGGCACACCTGTACCCTGCTGCCAGGATGAACGTTTCCCAGGACCCCGGAAAAGCTGGGTGGGCCCAGTGGTCCAGGCCATGTGTTTGTCATTGGTGTGAAAACAGCCCCTAGGTCAGCCGCTATGGGGCGTGGGGTCCCTGCTGGCCTGAACTTTTACTGTGGGCCGCTGGTGGCTGTGGTCTGTGTGTGGGCAGCTCCCTGCTCCCGGAGGACATGAAGAAGTGATTCCAATTCTTATCACAATCGTGAGTACGATGGCTGGTGACCATTCCGCACTTTCTTGCCATCTCCCCCAAGAGCTTGGTTATCTGTTGTCTGTCAGCTGACCTGAAGTCCTGCCATCCTCCCATAACTTTGGGCCAACCTTTCCCGCTCTGGACCTCAGTTTCCCCACCAGTCACCCTGGAGAAGATGGCACAATATAGTTGACTTGTGGCAGTGGTCCTCTGTGCTGTGTTCATAAGGATTTCAAGTTTGTGTCAGCATCTGGACTCAGGAGGAAGGAGGGCCCTGATCGATTAGTGATGTCTGCCATGGGCCCCACAATGCAGGCAGTAGCACATCTGCCATCCCTGGACTACTCAGTGTCTAAGATGCCCTTTGACTCCACGGGACTGGTATTTGGTAGAGGAGACAGGTGCATCCGAACCTGTCCTTCAGAGGGCAGATCTAGGTCCAGGGCTGGATGTTACAGAGAGGTTTCAGCTTCAGGTCTATGTCAGAGGTGGGGTCTATTAGGGGAGGGGGTGAGCTCTCCATTACTTGGGGGATTTAAGCTGAGCCTGACAGGGCATTCCTGCTTAGGGGCCTAGGGGTCCTTGCACCCCCTTTGCTTCAGGAAATTCCCATGATGAGCAGAGGTGGTCCCATCCTCTGTCCCTTGCTGTGGCTTACCACGTAGTCCAACAGGATCACGAGTTCTTCTGTAGGGAGCAAGGCGGCCACTGCAGCGTTCACAACGTCCTGCCTCACAACGAGGCTGAATGGGGCGCTGTTTGGGCTGGGCATCGTCAGGGAAGCCGCAGAGTTGTTGAACCACTTGGTCACCTTTCCCTCTGAGTCCAACAGCCTGGCCTGAGGAGACGCAGAGCAGGGAGTGAGCTGAGAATGCTAACTCTACAGCTCACCCACGAACAAACCAGAAGGAAAGGACACCGTTCAGCTTGTTTCCCTTTGTGCACTTGCTGCCAGGAAGCTTAGCCTGGAATTCAGTGCCTTGCTGGGGGCTGTGAGTTGTCTCAGGTGACGTGCAACATCTACTCCACCTGCACCCCTCAGATAACCTCAGATTTTTATTTTTTTTAACTTAGATAGTTTATTTTTCACTTATGTTTCAACTTCTCAAATAACTCAAACCCTTTGGATAAAGGGAAAGTTTAAAATTGTAACAAAATGAGAACTATTGAGGCTGCAATTTTTAAGGGATCCATACCAACTAGCCTGGGATTCACCCTGCCGGGTGGGCCGGGTCCCGCAGGGAGCGCAGCCCCAGCCTGGGTGTGCGGCTGCACGTTTTCCAGAGAGCTGACGGTTCCTGGCACTTGCCTGCCCAGCACTGCGTGGCCTCATTTCATCCTCTCCCCAGTGACCATTAGGATTTACATTTTGCAAATAAGGAAATGGAGGTTCAGAGAGATGAAGAACTTGCCCAAAGTCACACAGCCCGGGAGTCATGGGGCTGGGAGAGAAACTTAGGTATGCGTGATTCTCAGTGATGGCTCAATGTCTCAATCCTGGGCTCTTGTTTCAAGGTCGCCAGAGGTCTGGCGATTGGCAGGGACTTGCCCGAGAAAAAGGCCACGGGGCCTCGTGCACACCTTCAGGGCGATGACAGGGGAAATGAGGGTTGAGGGCAGATCCTGGGCAGATGATGTGCACGAGGCCCTTAGACTCTACCTGCCGGTGTCCACCCCGCCCCCCACTCTGAGAATGGCTTGCGTGTGTTCCGCACGTTGTGATGTTTCTAAATCAGCTCATGTGTCCTAACTGTGACTGGGCTTTCCTACCCTTCTACAGGCCTATGGTGCCTGGCCCTTGCGGTCAGAGAAGGGGAGGGAAGTCCCCACTTTGTTCTCGAGGTCCTGGGACACTCACCCCCAGGTTGAACTGGACGGCATTGTCCTGGATGGCAGGAGACAGAACGTCAAACTCCAGGCGTTCAGGGCCGAGGGAAACAGGCACTGCTCGGGGACAAGAACGTTCTGTGAGGGTGGGGGCAGCATTGGGTGGGGTGGTTTGGGGGCTGCTCTCTGCTGGATTGTCACGTGGGGAAGTAGGCAGGAGGGGCAGGTGGTAATGATGTTGATAATAATAATGAAAATGACGATAATGACTGTCACCGAGCGTATACCAAGTGCCAGGCACTGCGCTGAACCTTGACATGTGTTGGCTCATTAACCTTCAGAATAATCCCTGGAAGCAGATCCTATTATCCCCCTTTTACAGATGGAGAAACCGAGGGTCAGAAAAGTGAATTGACTTGCTCAAGGTCATACTGGGAGAGGATTTGAACCCAGTCGGTCTTATGCCACAGTCCTGGTTTGGAATAAAACCGAACTATTGTTTATAACGCCCCACCTCCTTCCCCAGACTGAATCCCGCATTCCCCATGAGGGGTTCCAGGTCTAGACATCCTGTGTGCACCTGTCTACCCATGGACTGAGTGTTCGCCGAGGGATTCCCAACTTGGCCTCCAGGTGGCGGTGGCGTCTCATCCGCTCCGGCGGTAGGCCCGATGATGGGGAGGGCGGGGAGGGGCGAGGGAGAACTGCCCTGCCCTTGGGGAGCAGAGGAGCCAGTTGGACTTGGGTTTGAGCCCCAGAGACCGTGGCTAGTCTCTTCTTGCCCCTGAATCTGTTTCCGCATCTTAAAATGGGGGTATCATAGAAATTCCTGCATTACTTACAGAACTGGCTCCTAGGAATCACCAAGTCTGAATTACACCCACTTGGAACTGGAAGAATTGGGTTCAAGCCTTCCCCATATTACTAATTGCCTCTGTGAGCTTGGACAGATGACTTAATTGCTCTGAGCCTCAGTTTCCCCACATGTACAGTGGGGTGATGATTGCTGCTGCATGGAGCTGTTTTGGGGGTCCAGTGAGATGGTGGGTGCAGAACACCTGGCCCATGGCAGGTGCTCTCTGGGTGCTCAACTCGCTTTCATTTCATTTTCCTCTCTGGTTGCCCTTTCAACGAGCCTCTTCAGATCCCAAAATGGTGGGTGCTGGACTTTTCTTCTTCCCTGCCAGTTTCCACTGGGGGGGGGGGTTTCTAAGCAAGGCAGATTTCTGATGTGGGGGCAGGAGCCCATGTCCTCCCATCTCTGCTGCTCTCAGGGAGGGAGAAATGGCCTCCTTGCCGAGCACACATTGCATCTCTTCCCTGTTTCCTCTCCTCTAATAGCACGTGGTGGTTGCTGTATTATCCCTCCCTCCATCCCTTCAGCATGCATCCGAAAGCATTTCCCTGTGCCCGGCAGAGCACCTCCTATGTGCCTGGAACTTTTCTGTAAACTTTTAATCCTCACTAACAATCCCATGGGGCAGGGATGTATAAGCCCCATTTTTCAGATGAAGAAACCAAGGGTAAGGAGGTGGAGGGGCTTTCCCAAGGTCATGGAGCAAGTCAGTGGTGGAGCTGGGATTTGAACTTGAGTTTATCTGGGGCATCTGCTGGCCTCACACAGAACCTTATATAGCGTAGGAGCTCATTAAGTCGCAGTCAGTGAACTTCTGTCTGCTCATCTTGGGCAGGCATCACCTGCTGCTCCTCCCCCCTGCTGCTGGGCCCAGTCGCTGCTCGGCCTGACTGGGGAGGACCCCCTGGGTGGAGGCGGGGCCGGGAGCCCAGCTCCATAGTACAGGAGAAGGTGGAAGAGAGAGCAGTGCACCTACCCCTAATAATCTCCAGGAGCTCTGCGTACATGTCATTGAAGGCCAGCTCGATCACGGGACACAGCTGCAACAGCACAAACACAGGGGCTCCATTAGTGAGGCCAGAGTGCAGCCCCATGGTGACCTCTGCCCAGTCCCCCCAGCCTGAGTCCTGCTGCCATGGCCATGGCCAGCCAAGTTCATCTACGGGGCTGGGCATCATTTGTGTGTCCACTCTCCCCGCCATCTCTGCTGCTCAGAGTCCACCCAGGCCCCAGGGCCCCCTGCGACCTTTTGCAATGGTTTGTTCCTCGCCCAGTGGCCAGGCTGTGCCTGGTCTGCCAGCTCGCGAGAGCCCATGTTTTCCATAAGAGTGAAATGGAGAATTCACTTCTTCATCCCGCAAGTCACTACTGAGTTCCTTCCACACGTCAGACTCTACAACAGAGTCCGGCAAGACAGACCCTACCAGACCAGACTCCAACAATCTCTTTATGCCTTTTGGGATTTTTCTAGCCCCAACACATCCTTTTGCCCACTAAGCAATTCTCTTTCTAAAATTGCCAGCAGTCCTCGACAGGGGGTGATTTTGTGCCCCCTGGAGACATTTGGAAATTTCCGGAGACATTTTTAGTTGTCACAACTTGAGAATGAGGATATTCCTGACCTTCGGTGGATAGAGACCAGGGACGCTACTAAACATCCTACAATGCACAGGACAGCCCCCACGACAAAGAGTTATCAGCCCCAAATGTCAGTAGTGCCAAGGTTGAGACCTAACCCTGGCCCCAGCCGTCCTGCTTAGGGAGGAGATTAAACATGTGACCCACTTGCCTGTGGGACCCAGAGGCCGTGTTCTCTGCTCCGAGGCAGCCCATTTTTCAGGGCAGTGCTCCAAAATTATCAAGGACATTTTTGTCCTAGGTACAATGGCCCTAGTGGAAGAACCTTCTAGTTGGCCACCCCTTAATGCATTGACAATGTGTTAATGACAGTGTGTTTGGGAAGTGTTAACTTTTTCTGTGAACAATCATTCCCTGCTCCCAGCTACTTTGCCAACCCAGAGAGGCTGGCAGAATCAGCTCAGAGACTCCCAGCAGGCACTGCCAGGGGACCACTTGTCCCTCACGGGAAAGGTGTCCCCGGCAACCTCCGCACTTTCTCTCACAATTCCCCATCCGTCATCCCTATCAGTGGGTCTCACCCTGGCTACACACTGGAGTCTTCTGGGACACGAGGGCCCCACCCAGATCGATACTGTTTAAAGCCTTCTGAGCTTCTGATGTGCAGTCTGGGTTGAGAGCCACGAATTTGCACTTAAAAGGGTTCCAGCATTTTCTAAATGAGCTCCTGCCAGACACTGCCCTCTTAAATGTGCTGTGCCTCTTCCCTTCATGCCAAATACAATATTCATATGACCATCGAATCAACCCAGCGCATCACAGTAGGAAACTAGGATGATAAACGGGGAACCGGTTTTCTCACGGCCTCTATACCTGGCCTTTCACCCTTAGAGGCAGGTACTGGGCAAAGAGCATTGTATAATTAATTCCAAGTTCTTGCCATCATTTCCAGTGGAAAATATATTTGAACTATTTGAGAATGGATAAAATACGATTTTGCTAGAGGCTGGGAAAAAATTTGCAGCTGAGTCCTACTTTAAGAAATTCCCACCTTTAAATTGAAAAATAAAAGTCTTCAAAGAAAAACATGTCTCACGTAAAAAAAGCCCAATTTTACAAAATCATTCACTTTTAGATTCCCTTAAATAATCTCCCTGGATATGCACCTTTGCTAACAAGTAAGGGTCTTGAAAGTCTCACAATAAGCAGTGATTGTCTTGACTTTGATATCACATATTTATATTCATTCTCCTCTTTCCTCTCTCTGTCCTCATTTTCTTCCAGTAAGTTACTGGAGAAAGGTAGTTTGAATTGGGATGAATCAATTTTTGCTTCTGAAATTAACCTTTTAAAAATCTCATTTGAGCTTTTTCAGTTTTTGATTATTCACTTAGTTTTCCTTGGTCTCTTTAATATGTAGGTATTTAGTCTATTAAAATAATGGATCTTCATTTGACTACATATGATACTCTTTAAGTTTTACTAGTGCAGAAGCAGAACTTGAAGATCTTAACTCAGGCTTAATAAAGAACCAAAGACATAATCATGTATTAAATGGTTAATGTCTATTTCACAAAATGGAGGCAAAATACTTTACTGACTTGGAAAAAAAACATCCAACAGGACCTGACACATTCCTGGCACATTCCAGGGTGGCACATTCCTGAAGACCAGAAGCAGAGTAGCACGAGACAGTGGCATGCTGGGGTCAGCTTGTACTAGGTTTTGAGAACCAATTGTTCAATTTTCAGGAATTTCTGAGCTGGGTCTTAGCCCAGACATTAAAAAAAATTAAATTATATACATTTAAAATTAAGTAAATTATTTTAAAAATGGAGTTAGGCCAGGCACAGTGGCTCACGCCTGTAATCCTAGCACTCTGGGAGGCCGAGGCGGGAGGATTGCTTGAGTTTAGGAGTTCAAGAGCAGCCTGAGCAAGAGCGAGACCCCGTCTCTACTATAAATAGAAAGAAATTAGCTGGACAACTAAAACATATACATATATATGTAAAAATTAGCCAGCCATGGTGGCCCATGCCTGTAGTCCCAGCTACCCGGGAGGCTGAGGCAGGAGGATCGCTTGAGCCCAGGAGTTTGAGGTTGCTGTGAGCTAGGCTGACGCCATGGCACTCTAGCCCAGGAAAGAGAATGAAACTCTGTCTCCAAAAAAAAAAAAAAAAAAAAATGGATTTAATAAAAACCCATAACTCATTACCTCCTAGATATGTTGCTGTATTTTACTATTATCTATTGCTCCTGCGATCACATCTATCGTATCTGCTTGGTGGAAATACTACACAATAGTGTGCGGCTGCGCATCTCCTCCTAACTCCGTTCGGTCACATCACCTTGGTAGCCTAAAATTGGCCCCATAGGGAGTATTTACACCAAAGAAATCAGCAAAAGCTAAAAATCAGAGCCCCTTCCCTGCAACCCCACGGGAGATAATTGTTAAAAATTTATTGGCACATCACGGTTCAAGGCCTCCTGGCTGACATTTGGCAGTTCCATGACCTTGACCTCAACAATCTGCCTGTGCTAATGGCCCAATCCATTGCTCTTTGCTTTGCTGAAATAATTATCCAGCCCTAGAAATATCTCACCCAAGGAGACACAGTCCCTTAGCACCAGCCCCACAGAGGGAGCGACCGTCACGGGCCATGGAGGCCCCGATTCCACTCACCTGGCTTTTCACCAGTTTGGGCAGGGCTGGCACCAGGAGCTTCATGACCATGTTCGCTAAGGGGTTGACCAGGAAGGATACCCTTCCAGGGAGGAGAGTGGAGAGAGATTAGGAAGGGTCAGACGATTGCCCCTCCCCATTTTGCAGAGTGGGAGACTGAGTCCAGGGGAGAAAGGAACTTGCCCAAGGTCATACGATCTGTTAGAGAGAGGGCTGGGAGTCGGCCCTGAGCCAGGTGTACCCAGCGGCCGACAGTTCTCAGGGAGCAGGGGCTGAACGTCCTCTTTAGAAATTTGTGCTGGACGTTGGGATGACGGGAGCTGGCGTGTCTCCCTCCCCTCCTGCTGAGGGGGGCAGGACGGCACCTGCCACGTGCTGCGCACTATTCTGAGTGCTTGATGGCCGTAGCCTGACCCAGTCCCCTCACTGCCAGCTGGAAGCATCATCACCTGCGTTTTACAGGTGAGGAAGGTGAGACACGGAGGTGACTTGCCCAACATCACCAGGTAATGAAGGAAGAAGAGGCCTTTGCCCGACTCCAACGCCTTTGTTTTTACCCCTGGCACCTCCCAAGCCAGCCTCGAGTGGTTGGAGGGGCCGTAGGAAGGGGGCTTCTCTCCACCTTCAAATGTTTGTCCCCCCTCCTGACGTCACGCGTGAAATCCCACCATTGCTGCACCTGCCCTGGATGTCCTGACTTTTCTTTGGCATCTCAGAGTCCCTGGAAGGAACCTCAGATCAAGAATCAGAGAGGATGTGTCCCTTTCCTTCTCTAGGCCTCATGCGTGGGGACAGGCCACCACCCGGCTTTCCCCCAGGCCCTGCGGGAGCGGTGCGGGTGGCGCTGCACTTACTTGTGCAGCAGGCTGATGCGCAGGCTGCCCGGGCTGGTGGCGCAGTCGCGGAGGACGAGGCGGGTGGGGCCGCTGGCACCTGTCTGCAGCTGGACGGTGGCCTGGGCCTCGCTCTCCAGGTGCAGCTGCACGATGGTCTTGACCAGCGGCCTGGGGGCGGAGGCAGCCGGGGAGTGAGCGCCACCCACGCCCGGGGCTGCGGCAGACCCGCCCGTCCCTGTCTTCTGGCTCTCGCCCCCTTCTCAATCTCCTTCGTGGGGTTCTCCTTGTCTCCCCAACTTCTTCACCCCAGCACGTCCCAGGCTCTGTTTGGGGAGTCTTCTCCTGGTTTCGATCCCTTTCATGTGCTGACAGCTTCCAGACTTTTTCCAACTCCCTACTCAGATGTCGCTTGGGCTTCTCAAGTGTAGCAGGTGCAGCACTGGACTGGGCTGTCCCCAGGCCTGCTCCTCTCGTGGCCATCCCTGCCTCGCTTCCTGCCCGTGCCATCCTGCCAGTTGTGCCGGCAAAAACCTGCCAGGCATCCTCGAATCCACTGTCCTTTCCCTTTCTCTGTCTCCATGAGCGCGCTCGATGCTGCAGGACATCCTGTTGTCGCCGCCTACTTCCAAAATACACCCAGGGCCCAACCACTGCTCGCCAGCTCCCTGCCGCAAACCCTGGCCTAAGCCCGCCTCGCGCCCTGAACTGTTCAGTAGCTTCTGGGTGGCCTTGCTGCCTCCATTCCTCCCCCCCCAGACTGTTTCCCCACAGCAGCCAGAGGGATTCTGTAAAAACATTAAGCCATGTCATGTCCCTCCTCTGCTTAGAACTTTCTGTGGCTCCCGTCTCACCAAGTAAAAACCAAGTCCTCACCTTTGCCCACAAGACCTTGCGTGATCTGGTCTTGGCTGCCTGCTGACCCCAGCGACCCCTGCCCTATGCTCACTCCCCCACCCCTCTCTTTGCCATTCTGTGAGTAAGGCAAGCACACTGCTGCCTCAGGGCCTTTGCACTTGCTCTTCTCTCTGCTTGGAACTCTCTTTCCCAGACACCTGCATGGGCAGAAGGAGGAATGAGGGAATGAACCTGTCAGACCCGCTGCACCCGACAGAGGGGGACACTCACGTGTTGAATCCAGCCACCATGTCCATGGGGATCTTGACGACTAGCTCCTGGGCGTTGGCCGAGGTGTGCACCTGCAGCTGGAGGATGCTAGCTGAGGTGACCTTCAGCCTGGATGGGATTCAGGAGAGACAAGAATCATGCCTCATGCTCAATGAGCCTGTCCCCAGCCCTGCTCCTGTCCTCCCTTCCCATCTCTCCTGGGCCCCGGCCAGCAGCGGGACCCCAATCCCTGGCCACTGCACCCTCCCCAGCATCTCCCTGCCACCCCGCCCCTCCATCCTGCGACGCTATGATGGCTCCTTCTCTTTTGGGTGATGACTCGTAAGACCCTCGGTGACCTGCCCTGCTGGCCTCGCACTCCTTGCCTTGAGGTTTGAGCTGCAGCCACTCCGACCGACTCTCAGCCCTCTGTGCCCAGGCGGGTCCTTCTGCCCGGAATGCCTCCCTGCCCCTGGTGAGCACTGTCACCTCCATGGAAGCACTGCCTCATCCTCTGTCCTCCCGCGCCCGGTGACTTTCCTCTGGGTTGTCGTGTTGGATTCCTGTGCCACTGTCTCAGGGCTGTGGCTAACTACTCTGGGAGCCTCCCTGTCTGGCGCGAGCTGACGTTTGCTGACGGACTGAGCGTGCAAAGTGTGTGCTGGGCGGCGGGGCTGGAGGAGCTGGCTCGCAGCGTGGTCCCGCCGCACTCACCAGACGATGTTTCTCAGGACAGTGTCCACGAGGCTGCTCAGCACGCCGGCCGGCTTCTCCCGCACGGCGCTGTGCAGCGGCAGCTGCTGCAGGACGGCGGTGGCGCCGTGGGCCTCCAGCGCCTGCGTCAGCTCTGCAGGCAGACCCGGGGATTAGGGTCCAAGAGGAGGGTGATAAGGACGGCTCGGGCAGCCCCGAGGCTGGGAGGGGCTGACTTGGGGCTCCTCGGGCCCTGACATAGCCGAGGGCACCACCGTCTCCGCTGTGGGGGACGCCAGGACCGCTCTCCTTGAGGATAGTGGCCCAGCTGGGTCATTTTCACATGAAAAGAGAAGCGGGGCCCTGAGCGTCACCAGCCTCTGCTGGGAGCGTTGGCCACGGCACCCAGCACAGGGCCCTGCCTCTCTCCCCCAGCCAGGGCCAAACCCTTCCAGAGCCGAGAGGCAGGGAGCCCAGGAGGCCCTGCCTACCCACGCTCGCTGCAGCTCTGTGGCATCCACACCCTACGGTCCGTTGTCCAGAGAAGCTCAGGTGCTGAGCGAAGGAGCTGGGGCAGAGAGCTATGAGTCGGGAGCCCTGGGTGCCGGTCCCTGCCAGGCTGTTTGTTCACTGGCGGCCAGAGCCCCTTTGGCTCGTGTGCAGAGCAGATCGGAGGTGCTGGGGAGCTGACACCCCAGGGGCAGCCCCCGGCCAGTGACTGCTGAGAGTCGGTGTATGAATACCCCAGCTCCGTCAGCCCCTGGGCAGGGTGACTCAGAAGTGCGTCCCCCACTGTGTTTCAGAGCTCCGTGTTACGGCTCCCAGTCACACGCCACCCGTGTTGCCTGCTCTGTGATAATGGAGCTGGGCCCTGTACATATTTCTTACTGACAGGTGGCGCCATGGTAAACCCTGGCAGTGGAGGCACTGGAGGGACATGGAGAAGGATGGGGCTTCCCCTCATGGCCCTGGTGTACTCCCCCTGCCAGGCTCCTGTGGCGTCACCGCCTAGTGGCTTTGGGCCGTGGGTTGGCAGCAGCCCTGCGGGCACCCTGGCTGGCTTCCAGGCAGCTTCCCCGAGATGGCTTCCCAGTGAGTTAACAGCAGTCCCCTTCCTCTGGGGGCAGCTTCCAGAGAATTTCATCGGCTCCCTGGCTGGCGGTTCCCTCCTGCCAGCCTCAGCTTGCCGACTGATGGCCGGCCTGGCCTGGGGCAGCCCAGGGAACTTTTCCACCATACAGTGGGCTGCAAACGCACCTCTCCAGTGAGGTCTGGGGAGGATTCTCTGCCCTGAGTTTGTCCTCTCCTTGGCTGTCCCCTCCACCCCTAGGGAAGGCTTTAGGGTTCTGTCTTTTTACCCCCTGAGCCAACTCCCCATGTCTCCAATCCCCTGCTAACAATTCTTCATATTGAACTCGCCTGTTGGAGCTACTGTGTGGTTTCTGCCTCCTGGTTGTTCCCAACGACTGCAGCTGCCCAGCAGGACCGAGCTCCAGTCCCCACAGTGGCAAGTGGCTTGGAGATGCACCCTCACGGGCCACCTTCCCCCACCCGACTTGCTTTCCCTCGATCCTGCAGGAACTCCTCCAAGACAGCCACGTGCACACGACTCCTTGACTCACTTCCTGCTCCTGGGAGAACCTAAACCGTGGTCGCTCCTCTCCAAGCTCCTGCGGGCTGGAATTCCACATGCCTGAGATCCACTGCGTGGGCCCAGGGCCCACCCGTCTACCTGCCCCCGGCTCCCAGAGTGCTCTGCTTCCTGTCCCTACTTGGGGACCCATCCTGTGGCTATAGGGCCTGCAGCCCTGCAGGATCTGGCCCTGCCCCCGCCCCTGGCCCTGGCCCGGGCCCACTGCACGCAGAGGTCTGGGCCTCTAAGGGCTCAGCCGACCCTCCAGAGCAGACAGATTAGTCCCCTCTCAGGTGGGGACGCTTTGGAGCTGTGGTTCTCAGCCAGGCTGATTTTGTCCACTAGGAGACATTCGGCAGTGTCTGGAGACATTTTTGGTTGTCATGACTGGCTTGAGGGTGCTGTTAAACATCCTACAGTGCCCAAACAGCCCGCGCAATAAGGCCACTGAGTCAGAAGTGCCGAGGTTGAACAGCCAGTCGCAGGATTCATAAGCTCTTGTCAATTCCTGTCCTGTCGGTGTCCCCAACAACCCAGGGAGGAAGGCCCTCTTACTCGTCTCCAAAGGAGGAAGCCAGGCTCAGGGACTGGCCCAGGGTCACAGCACTGGAGAGTGACATGCTGTGCCCGGGACTGGGCTGCCAGCCTGCAGTCAGGGGTCTCTGCTGGGGACTCGGAGAGCACGGGTCTCAAGGACAGGGGAGGCAGGTGCGTCATTGCACGCAGTGGCCACGCCCCCTTCTGCCGGCCCTGGGACCTCAGAGCAGGGGGTTTTTGGAACTGTGGAATTGAGAAGCAGGGGCTGTGGGAACCGCGGACTCGTGAGAGCTCGTTTGGAGGGTCTAGCAGGGGAGCGCAGCTACGCGTGCACCCTTGACCGAAGCGCGGTCCTCCTCTATCGGGGAAGTCGTCCTCTTCGACCGACTGAGCTCGGGGCTTCGGGAGGGACCCACACGGAGCGGTGAGAGAGGACGGGGACACCCGCTTAGCCAGCAGATCAGCCGAATCAACCCTGGCGATCAGTGGGGTGACAGGTGTCGTGGCCAGATGGCCCTCACATCTGAACTCCTTGGATCACAGATACCCCAAACCTTTGTAACTCACGTCTCACGTCTCACCGAGCCCGGGGCCCTAGGCGGGCCCTGCACGCCCTCTGATGAGGAACTCCCTCTGTCCTCTGGGCGGCGCTCCCCCTGCTCCCCTGCCTGGTGGTGGTGAGGCCCGAGGGCCCAAGACTCACTTTCTCTGATGACTTCTGCGCGGAGGTTGAGAACCACAGGGGGCTTGAGGGTGGCTCGCACCAAGGTGGCTGCCAGTAAACCACAGAGGAGAGTGAAGACCCCTGGGCCGGCCATCTTCCTGGGTGTTGGTGGCAGCAGGTGGCAGGTGGCAGGAGCTGGGAAGAGCACAGAGGGCCCTGCTGGCTGGGCAGACAGGCCAAGGGCAGGCCCACGATGCCCGGTGACCTGTAGTATGGAGTCTAGGAGAGGCCATTTAGTGAAGTGGCTAATTTCCAGGGGCCAGTTGTGTGGTCTTAGACAATTTAACCTCTCTGTGCCTCAGTTTTCTTATCTGACAAATGGGCATAATAATCCCTACTTGACAGAGTTGAGGGGATTAAATGAGTTACTACCTAGAAAGCATTTAGCACAGTCTTACATGGTGAACATTTGGAAAATATTAGCTATGTTCTTATGGAAAACACACCACAGTGCTCAGGACAAAAATGCCTCTGCTTCTGTGTCCCCACTCCATCCATCCAGCACTTCAAACCCTTGATGATCCGGCCTCAGCCACCCTCACCTCCTGCTTTTTCTTTTCTTGCTCTATCAAGTTTCAAGCTCTAAGTCCCCAGAACGTGCTCTGTGCTCTCCTGCATCCATGCCTTTGCCCTTGCTCTTGCTTCTTGGAATGCTTTTCTCCTTCCTTATCTGCCTGCCGAACTCCTATGTATCCGTCAAAGCCCTGCCCAGACTTTCACTTTCTCTGTAAAGCTTTCCCTCTCCTACAGCCAGGGACCCTGGACCACACTCCGAGAAATGATGCCCTGGGGCTCAGGCCAGGAAGATTAGATGCAGGAGAGAAATTAGAATTCAGGAAGGACTCAATGTTCAGAAATGAACGCTGTTTGCTTCATCCAGTAGCAAGGAGCCTGGGGAGGGAATGGGTGGCTCCTTGGAACGAGGGAGAGAAAGGCAGAGAGAGAGAGGCCTGTGGTGCCTCCCAGGGAGAGGAGCTGGGGTGTTCTGGCCCCCAGAACAGGTTGGTCTGTCCCTCCCACGAGGCGGGACATCAACACTGCTACCCAGCCTTGAGCTCTCCAGCCCTCGCCCTGGCGCTGCCTTCAAGCCCCTGCTGGAAGCTTCTGCCCCCTGTGGACTGTCCTGCTGGAGGGAGGGGCAACGCTGACCCCCAGGTCCAAGCCCTTGTTTGGCTTAGCGTGTGGGTTTCTTGTTGCCAAGACAAATGTGGCATCTGGGTGGCATGCGTCTCCTGTGGTCTGGAGCAGGGCGAGCTCTTCTGAGACCCCTACAATACGGAGGGAGGGCTGGGTCCGCCTGCTCCCCGCTGGGTCCCGGCACCAGCACAGTGCCGGCACCCAGCACCGGCCTAATAAACGGCTGCCGAATGAATGCATGGCCTCCGGGAGCCCTGAAAGAATTGGGAACCCGAGCCCGCTGTGCTGAGGAGGTCTGGGCTGCCGAGTCACGGGGACCCACCGCCAGAGTCGGGAGGGTGGAGGGTGGAGGGGAAAGGTCATGGGTTTGGGAGTCAGACAGACCCGCGTTGGAGGCCTGCCTCCACCACTTGCTCTGTGATCTTGGACAAGTGATTTGCCCTCTCTGAGCCTCCATTTTCTCATCTGTAAAATGAGGGATAATTATAGCACTTACATGACAAAGTTGTTGGGAGGATGAATGAGACAACCTGCCTGTGGCCTGGCATGCCACCGTGCTCGGTATGTGTTAGCTACCATTATGGTCACGACTAGTTATTACTATTATTACTAGTACTGGAGTCAGAAGGAGACATCTTGCAGTCTAAGGAAGACAGAGGCGACACTCCGCAGCCTGCCGTTTGGCCCAGGCACTCCCCACCCCAACTCCATGATATTTTTCTTCCAAACACCTTGACCTTGCCTGTCCTCCACCATGTTCACACACCGCTCAGGCCCGTCCTGACCAGAGGGACGCAGGGTCCACGAGGATGGTGCATCCGTCCCCTCCTCCAAATCCAAGGTACCCACGTGGCATCCCCTCTCCTGGCCTGTGCTCGCACTCATCCCCTTCATGGAGTGCCTTTCTCTCCTCCTCTGCCCAGCCACCTTCCACTCGGCCTTGCAGCCAACACGGCGCCTCTTCCAGGAAGCCTTCTCTGCCTGCCCTGCACTGCCACGTCCCTGGGCCTTCCGTGGGCATGGCATGAGCCACATTGGCCCATGCTGGGGGCTCCTCAGGGACCGGAGACTGCCTGATGCTTCTCTCTGTCCCCAGCTTCACTCCAGCACAGCGGGCACAGGCCAGTGCGTGCAGGGTGGGTTTGTGTCATTGTCACTGCTCTTTGGTCTTCTGGCCAGGAAGCCGGGCAGCTCTCTGTGCTCCGGCCCTGACCCTCATGGGACCGGCTGCTGGGAGCCCGTACCTGGGGGCTAGGCCTCCCCTGTGCTCCTGACCCAACCCCAGCAGGTGCATCTCTCTCAGAACCTTCCTGGCAGCCCAGGCTTCTGGCCCCTTCTCTGTGCTTTTACCTGGACACGCTGGAGTCCTCGGCCCGCTCCTCTCGTCTCCTGGGCAGCGGGCTGGACGTCCAGCCTTATATCCTGCACACCCGGCCCTGGTGGCCACACTCTGTCTTTGGGCCGGGGCCTCGGGCCGGGCTGGGATCTCCAAGGTAAATATTTGTGGCTTCTGGTGAACCACAGCGTGGCCTGGAGGCAGCCCCGAGATTCCAGCTTCCTGAGTTTGGACAAAGTAGGGTCCAGGCTGGCATGGGGGTGGGCGGGGCGCCGGGGCACATGGCAGGGGCGCGGGACCAGGCATGACGTGAGCCATGCAAGCGCTCCCTGCCTCCTGGGCAGTGGGTCCCCTGGGACAGCCATGAGAGCAGTAGCAGGGACGATGAATGAACACCGAGGACGTGGCAGGCGCCGCCCCAGGCTTCACATCGGTTGTCTCAGTGGGGCCTCGTCCCCTGAGGAGGAACCAGCCTCCCTCGCACGATGAGCACATGGCAGAGCCAGGACTTGAACCAGAGCTCAGACTTCGAAACTCATCTGGGATGATGCGTGGTGGACACTGGGGTGTCATGGGATAGACTGGGCTCAAGTCCTGCTCCACCATTTCCAGGCTGTGTGACGTGGGGACATCCCATAACCTCTCCGAGCCTCGGTTTTTTCATCTGTGAGATGGGAATACGAATAGCACCTGCCTCTTGGGTGCTTGGGGGAACACAGTGCACAGGGAGGGAGCACGGCCCCGGCACAGAGTAGGCGCCCAGTAAACGTGGGTGGTCGTTGCTGCTGTTACTTATCGCTTATAATAGGAGGAGCCTTGTGGCGAGGTTACAGTAATAGTGTAGTCCAGATAATTCACCTGGGAACGGGAAGGAATAGCCTTGCCTACCCCTTATTCCCAAATGCATCTAAGGATACATATCTCCATTAATTAATTCACTCGAGAGAATAGGTTCGAGTCCCATTTTTGCCAGTTCTTTGCTGTGCACCCCTGGGCAAGGTAATTTGCCTCTCTGGGCCTCAGTGACCTCATCTGTAGAATGGGGTAATAGTAGCAGCTCCTCGCAGGCTGGTGCGAGCGGGGACTGTGGTGCTTGCCCACGCAGCGCTGGACGGGCTTCCATGCACTCGCTCTGCAGCGGCGAGACCCGCCTTCCCTCGTCTGCACCTTTCAGAATCTCAGGGAACATTTGTGGAGTGAAAGAACGAGGAGGCATGACCATGGCCGAGGGGCAGGTGTGAATAGCCCAGCGGGACCCCACACTCGCCGCCTGACTCAGGCTGGGGCTCACTTCTCCCCACAGTCGCCTGGAGGGGGCGTCGCACGCCGACTTGACCAGGGGTCTGAGGCTCCGCGAGGTGAGCGGCTTGCTCAAGGCCACAGGGCCGGGGCTTCCAGAGTGGGGCCGGAGCCCAGCACCAGTCCCCAGCACATGCGCTTGGTGACCACACTGCCCTTCCCCGGTGACTCCGGTTAGCCATGCGGGCGGTGGCGGCGCAGACATGGCCTTTGGGCATCTCCTGGGGAGTCATCCTCGCTGCCCGACTTCCGCCTAGAAGCACGGACTTGGGGTTAGAGCTGGGGTGACGTCATTGAATTCTGTCCCATCTGCAAGGGGACAAGAGAGGGTGGCGAGTGCCCCAAGGTCACACCGTGTGTGGCCAGGCCCTGGCTGGTCTCCTCTTCCTGGTTTTGCCGAGAGGAACAAGGCGAGGAGTGTTCACCGTCCGGCCACGTCTGCAAATGTGCCGAAGGCCGAGGACACCTCGAGATGAGGCGCTTAGGGGCCGGGAGGACGCCAGGCAGCACCCGGCCAAGCCCCGGCGCACCTCAGAGAGGCAGATGCCTCCTCCTTGGCTGCCCAGCGGGCCATGCCTGCTGCCCAGGGACAATGCCCCTCTGTGGGTGCCGGAGCCCGTGCCAGCGCCTGGGCCCGTGTCGGTTCCGGCTTCCTGCTGCGCCCTGGGCCAGCCGGCAGGGCCACGTCCTGTGGGCCTCCGCATGCTGGCACCTGGGCCTGCCTCAGTGACACGCAGCCCCTCCTTGGACCGCTGGGGGCCTCCTGGTCTCGGCCTCACCTCCTCCCAGCCCCCAGGCCTCGGCCTGTGCCGCGTCCTCTCTGGGAATGCGCCCTCCAGCCCCCTGGACTCCCAGCCGAGCCTTGTCTGGGCGGGCCGGCAGGGGATGTTTCTGGAGCCGACAGACATGGCTCTAATTCCTGCTCTTGTGCTGTCACCTGTGCGGCCTCAGGAAAGCCACTCTGTCTCCAGGAATCTGTGTCCCCTCAAGTGTAAAATGGGGCTGTTCTGAGGGTCGCGCACGATCATTTGAAATGCTTGGAACATCAGAGAATTCATTAAGTGGCAAATGCTGTTATTATTGAAATACTAACACCACCAGCCTTCGGGGCCCAGTTCGGAAGGCACTGTCTGCACGAAGCTGCCTGACCACGGCTCCGCTGGGAAGACTGGGGCGTGCAGAGCCAGGAGAGGTTTCTGAGGACATGGCAGGGCTGGACGGGGGAATCAGGAGGACCTACCCGCGGCTACTAGCTCAAAAGAAACAAGGAAAGCAAGAATTCAAGCCACCTCTAAGCAGGCTCAACGCTTCCATTTAAAAAC